TTATGAAAGCAATTATTCTGTTGGCATATTTACTATAATGCGCTTCGATTTAGGTCGCCTCCGATTTCTTTGCGCATGACGTCAGCACACAAATACACAAACAATCACGTGAACTGAACAAATCATGTGTAGTGATACAGTTAAATAGGATAGAAGCCATAAAAATTACTTTCATGTATTTGTGAAAATTCCACACGTGCTAGTTTGATTCCGATTGGAGTTTTGTTTATTTGTATGCTAACGTCATGCCCAAAGAACTCGAATCACAATGTCACAATGTAAAACGGGGGTTGGAGGTTAGAGTCAGAGGAATCTCGGATTAGTCGGTCTCATGTCCTATAATTAAATATCGGATGGTAGAAAAGCTTGCATGAATAGTAACAACATGATAGGTATACTCAGTCTCGAATGAGGGAGGGGGGCACAACCATACATTTTTCAGCCGGGGGTACTATCAACTACCAAAATTCCTTGACACGCAAAGAAGGTCATCAGACTTAATTATTGAGGGGGCACAAGCATATATAGCTATTTTTAGGTCACCTGAGTAAACTCAGGTGACCTATTGCTATCCGTTTTTGTCCGTCGTCGTACGTCGTTCGTCGGTCGTAAACTTTTGAACATTTTCAGCTTCTTCTCTGGAACCAGCAAACCAATTTCAACCAATTTTGGCATATAGCATCTATGGGTGAAGGGGAACAAAAATTGTGAAATTCGTGGCCCCTGCCCCCCTGGGGCCTGAGGGGTGGGGCCAAAACCATCAAAATTAATGCAATCTTTAAAAATCTTCTTCTTTACTCCTGGACATCAAGCAGTCAAACTGTTGGCATGATTGTAATAAGCATTGAGCCCTCTACCAAAATTGTGAAATTCATGGCCCCAGGGTCAGAGGTTCTGGTGCTAGGGCGGGGCTATATAGATCATATAGTGAAAGTGTATTATTTGTTTGAAAATCTTCTTCTCTACTCCTGGGTATTATTGAAACGATTTGAATACATAGTTATGATAAGCAAGAGTGACTCTACCAAAATTGTGAAATTCATGGCCCCAGAGTCAGGGGTTCTGGTGCTAGGGTGGCGCTATATAGATCATATAGTGAAAGTGCATTATTTCTTTGAAAATCTTCTTCTCTACTCTGGGTATTATTGAAACAAATTGAATACATAGTTGTGATAAGCAAGGGTGACTCTACCAAATTGTGAAATTCATGGCCCCAGGGTCAGGGGTTCTGGTGCTAGGGTGGGGCTATATAGAACATATAATGAAAGTGCATTATTTCTTTGAAAATCTTCTTCTCTACTCCTGGGTATTGTTGAAACAAATTGAATACATAGTTTTGATAAGCAAGAGTGACTCTACCAAAATTGTGAAATTCATGACCCCAGGATCAGGGGTTCTGGTGCTAGGGCGGGGCTATATAGATCATATAGTGAAAGTGCATTATTTCTTAAAAAATCTTCTTCTCTACTCCTGGGTTTTATTGAAACAAATTGAATACATAGTTGTGATAAGCAAGGGTGACTCTACCAAAATTGTGAAATTCAAGACCCCAGGGTCAGGGGTTCTGATGCTAGAGCAGGGCTATATAGAACATATAGTGAAAGTGTATTATTTGTTTGAAAATCTTCTTCTCTACTCCTGGGTATTATTGAAACAAATTGAATATATAGTTATGATAAGCAAGAGTGACTCTACCAAAATTGTGAAATTCATGACCCCAGGGTCAGAGGTTCTGGTGCTAGGGCGGGGCTATATAGATCATATAGTGAAAGTGTATTATTTGTTTGAAAATCTTCTTCTCTACTCCTGGGTATTATTGAAACGATTTGAATACATAGTTATGATAAGCAAGAGTGACTCTACCAAAATTGTGAAATTCATGGCCCCAGGGTCAGGGGTTCTGGTGCTAGGGCGGGGCTATATAGATCATATAGTGAAAGTGCATTATTTCTTTGAAAATCTTCTTCTCTACTCCTGGGTATTATTGAAACAAATTGAATAAATAGTTGTGATAAGCAAGGGTGACTCTACCAAATTGTGAAATTCATGGCCCCAGGGTCAGGGGTTCTGGTGCTAGGGTGGGGCTATATAGATCATATAGTGAAAGTGCATTATTTCTTTGAAAATCTTCTTCTCTACTCCTGGGTATTGTTGAAACAAATTGAATACATAGTTTTGATAAGCAAGAGTGACTCTACCAAAATTGTGAAATTCATGACCCCAGGGTCAGGGGTTCTGGTGCTAGAGCAGGGCTATATAGATCATATAGTGAAAGTGCATTATTTCTTAAAAAATCTTCTTCTCTACTCCTGGGTATTATTGAAACAAATTGAATACATAGTTGTGATAAGCAAGGGTGACTCTACCAAAATTATGAAATTCTTGACCCCAGGGTCAGGGGTTCTGATGCTTAAGCGGGGCTATATAGATCGTATAGTGAAAGTGTATTATTTGTTTGAAAATCTTCTTCTCTATTCCTGGGTATTATTTAAACAAATTGAATACATAGTTATGATAAGCAAGAGTGACTCTATCAAAATTGTGAAATTCATGACCCCAGGGTCAGGGGTTCTGGTGCTAGGGCGGGGCTATATAGATCATATAGTGAAAGTGCATTATTTCTTCGAAAATCATCTTCTCTACCCCTGGGTATTATTGAAACAAATTGAATACATAGTTGTGATAAGCAAGGGTGACTCTACCAAAATTGTGGAATTCAAGACCCCAGGGTCAGGGGTTCTGATGCTAGAGCAGGGCTATATAGATCATATAGTGAAAGTGTATTATTTGTTTGAAAATCTTCTTCTCTACTCCTGGGTATTATTGAAACAAATTGAATACATAGTTTTGATAAGCAAGAGTGACTCTACCAAAATTGTGAAATTCATGACCCCAGGGTCAGGGGTTCTGGTGCTAGGGTGGGGTTATATAGATCATATAATGAAAGTGCATTATTTCTTTGAAAATCTTCTTCTCTACTCCTGGGTATTATTTAAGCAAATTAAAGACCCTCTATACACTAGAGGAAAATATTTTTTGGACATTGAGAAAATTATAGTGTGTAAAGGTGTAAATATTGAGCTTATCTATCACATTTTCAATAAAGGGTGTCTTGCATTTAACCCCGGGAAAAATGTTCAAAGACGATGAAGTACTGATGAACATAAATCACTGTTGTTTACTTAAGTGGGAAAAATACCTGCAAATGAAGTGTTCTATCTATTCATCTTGGCCTATTAAAGTGTTATGGATGCTTGATTTGATCACAAATTAAGTAATAAACTGTCAAATTCAATTTATTTTATTCTTAATCAAAGAGTAGATCACTCTATCTGCATAAACATACAACAAAATCAGAACTCTCTAGTGTGCAGTGTATAGAGGGCTCTTAAATACATAGTTATGATAAGCAAGGGTGACTCCGAAATTGTGAAATTCATAGCCCAGGGTCAAGGGTTCTGGTGCTAAGCGGGGCTATATAGATCATATAGTGAAAGTGCATTATTTCTTTGAAATTCTTCTCTTCTCCTGGGTATTATTTAAACAAATACATGGTTATGATAAGCAAGGATGCCTCTTCCAAAATTGTGAATTTCATGACCCCTGGATCAGAGGTTCTGATATTAGGGCAGGGCTCTATTTATTATATAGTGAAAATGCATTAATGCTTTAAAAATCTTCTCTGCACCCGGGCATATCAGAGGCAAAAAGAGTAAAAGTTTTAATAAGGAAGGGTATTTTTACCAGCTGCAGATTTTTGAACATCAGAACCATTTGGTCAAGTGTTCTGGTCCAGGCCAGGGCTCTATTAATTTGTATTCTGAGAGGAGTTATTCCCCTTTGCCATTTACTTGTGATAATTAAACACTGTAAATAATGTACTTGAAAGGTTAATAGAATAAGAATTATGCAAGAATTTTTATTGTATAATACAAAAAGTACTTTCATAGTTTTAATGATCAGGTAGACTTGTAAGTAACAGATAAATAAAAATGAGACAAAAATAACTTGTCTTATTAAATGTTCATCAAACACCAAGAGAGGCCAATGTAAGAGATTTCAACAAGGAATTAAAAGAATTCAGAAGCACTGATTATAAGTTTGTTTATATACTGTCTGGTGAGAGTGATAAATGGGGTACAGATTAGAACCTAATTTATGTACTGTTAATGAACACTAGACTAATTATTTTGTTGATCCTGATCACCCTATTTTTCTTGCTCTTGGGCAACAAAGCTTCACCTTTCAGTTCATTTTATACTCTATGGATCCTCTAAATTGTTGTATTATACTCAGGTGACCGTTAAGGCCCTTGGGCCTCTTGTTTCAATAGTATTCTATATATCGGCAAAATTATTGGGGGTACGCCGCCGCTCCCCCCCCCCCCCCCGGTTCCTTGGGCCATGATACTTTAGTAGGAGGAAGAGCTCTTGTACAGAAAATTATGTTTGAAATATAGGATATGATAAGATATAATTATACCTGATATACTCTATAAATAATAGTAATATATCATAAATATATTAGTATTGTCAATAAGAAGCATACGAGTAAAATCCGGGACTATGCCTGCATAAGTGCATTGTATCTCTTGTCCCTGAACTATTTCTTGGTGTCTTCACTTGATTGACATTATAATGTAGTCATTACATAAATAAGTGTAGCTAATACTAGTATATAGTGGGATAAACATGTAACAAGTTATTGATTTAATTATGGAATTTATGTCAATTTTCCATCTGAAAAGAAGATGAAAAGCCATGCTTACAAAAATATTCTGAAAACATTATTTTCAAATTCATGTGTAGAACAGTTGAATGATTAAATGACTAAAAACGCCACATAACCATGTTTTATTGTAAAAGGTTTTGAAAAAGATGTATTTCCTAATGACTCTTTTTCATTACGGAGAGCCACTTCTAGAGGCTTACTCAATAAGGAATATTCCAATTGTTTTAATGACCCTGATTTTCAACATTTTTTCAAAATTTTCACAATATCTATACGCATATCCCTTGTTTATTACATTTTTGTGACTTTTCACAACAAGTATAGGAAGTGTAGGGACTATATTCGCAGCATTCCTCCTCGGCAGGACACGGGTGTGATCCGCAGGTCATAGGTTGTGGCGGAGGAACATGCGGATCGTAGTTACAGAAAATCCCAGAACATTTCGTTCCTGGCCGTATGCTAGCAACAAAAAGGTCTAGAACGGAAGTTTGCTGCATCGGTGCTCCATTTGTGAATGGACCGTTCCAGTCAGGTGAAAAGACAGGCCCTGAAACTTTGAAGTAAGGGGGTCCATCCTTAAATGTGATGTTACATCGAGAGATTGGGACCTCGTTACACATATTGTGTTTTATGTTCGCTTGAACTTGAAATTCCATCCATTTCTGATACTTTTCACGAATTGTGGTATCATTGACTGTATCCATGAAATATCTTAAATTCCGAACAAAAATTCCTTTAAACATCTTGGCGTCGTCATCGCAGTCGGGGTCACAGTTCTTTTCGGTGAATATTCCGCTGGCGTTACTGTTGTATTGGATTGCTGCTGTGGCTATTTTATCTGCTAGAATAAGGTATGAATCGTTATTGGTAAGTTTATACATTTCTGAAAAAGCTCCCATCATAATTCCAGTTTCATACGTAAACCCAACACTATTCGAAGGTTTACAAGAGTTTAAATCAATGCCATCGCTGAGGAGAAATGTAGAGCTGTTGATTAAGTTATTTGAGAAGATGTATTCTTCGATCTTTTTGTATTTACTTCTGAATTCAGTATTGTTAGTCAGCCTGTAGAGTTTAGCCGCTAGATGGTACATTTGGACATCTGTTATAGTCTGTTTAGCATTGAAGTTGTTGTCAAACCACATGCCTCCATTGCACTGCCCAGTAGAATCCCACCCAGTTTTCCAGCTCCAGTTCAGAATGTCTATGGCCGTCTGAAGAAACTCTTGTAGACTGAAAAGTTCGTATATCCTGGCATAGCTGAGACCAAACCAACCCATGTCATCAAAGGAAGGGTACGGACCATAGGCTTCCATTAAGGAATAAAGATCTCTCTGAGAGCCCGTTACCACCGTCAGGTATCTCTTGTGTTGGGCATACTCCATAAAGTTAGCCATGGGTTCAAGTACAGCACCATTCTGCCAAAACCCATCATACCCGTTCCAAATCTGTAATTTTTAAAAATTTCATATTGTTGTTAACATTTTATTTGTTGAATTCCCAATATCAAGGGTAAAATGAGTTTTATTGAAACTGAAAATACATGTTAACCGACATGTAGTCAATCCTACTCCATTAATATCAGACTTTTTTAAAATTTTTATTCGTTTTTCATATATTTCGGTATTTAAAAATTACCTGATAGCTAAACAGACCCGCTATGGGTGACGGAAACCAATTCGATTGATGCGCAAACTCCGTAATGCAAGCCATGTACGCACTGAAGTCATTTCCAAACATCTCCATGGAACAGGTTCCGTTCTCATTGGATAATACCGAGCTAAGGGAGCAACCAATCGTTACGCCAAAAACCAGTAGCTTTGTCAAAAATCTCATTTTATTCACTTGTCTTCTTGCGTATTTTATATATCTGATAGGATGCAGGTATTTTTCTGATAACGACTAAATGGTGTTATCGCTGGTTATCGATAACTCTAACGATTAGTTCGGTTATAAATGATTTCATTCAAATGAAAATGACATATACTTTTCCACATTGTATGGATTACTTACATGTATGGTGAAGTGGTGAAAAAAAACTTATCGCAAGATTCTGTAATTTTTCTTCTAAGATATAAATACATTTTAAAACCTCAAATCTCAAGAGGAATATAGAAATAAAGTCACTTAAAATAACTTCGTCAACACTATAGTTACATGTATTATACGAGGACCGAAACAATGTGTGTGTGTGTGTGGGGGGGGGGGGGGGGTGTAGAACATGGTTTATGGAAACAGATTCGACAATGAATTGATGCCACTCGCTCAGCAATTTTCATTTCGTCGTCTGGTGTCAAGTGTGGTTATTCAAGGCCTTCTGATAATGAACATTTATTTATTTATAATTATTTTAGCTCACCTGAGCTGAAGGCTCATATCAAAATGTGTCCGTTGTCTGTCGCCGTTGTTTATTGTTGTCGTCGTCGTAAACGTATCATCTTCTTCTGCAGGACCACTGGACCAATTTCATCCAAACTTGGCACGGAGTATTCTTGGGTGAGAGGGATTCAAGTATATTCAAATAAAGGGCCAAAGTCTCTTCAATGGGGGGGGGGGTCATTAAGAAATAGTAATAAATGGATGGGTGTCATTTAAATATCTTCTTCTCAAGAACCACTGGGGTTTTCATCTAACATACGGTAAGAAAGGATAAAACTTTTAATATTTTGTTTTAAGAACAGGAAAGACATGATTAGTCATATTTGTATGAACAAGGAGTCTGTGAGCCAATGCTCACTTGTAACCCCCCCCCCCCCCCCCCCCGCTCTGATGTGAATGTAGCTCTCATGAATCCCACCAAACTGCATGCCTAAACAAAAAGTGTGCTAAAATTTCAAGCATCTGCCTTAAGTAGCTGCTGAGAAAGCTGTGACGAAAATGTTGTACGGACAGACGCATGGATAACCAGGAAGTTGACATCGGATTTGTACAAAAATTAATCCCACCATATGGCATGCCTAAACTAAGAATATGTTAAAATTTCAAGCACCTGCGATGAGTAGTTGCTGAGAAAACTGCAACGAAAATTTGTTACGGACAGATGCACGGCAAAACAGGAAGTTGACATACGCTCAAAACATGCACAAAAATTAATCCATCATATGGCATGCCTAGACAGAGTGTTAAAAATTCAAGTATCTGCAATGAGTAGTTGCTTAGAAAACTGCGACCAAAATTTGTTACGGACAGACACACGGCCCGGACAGACAGACAGCTACACAGCACGACAGACACGCACACAAGGGTAAAACAGTATACCACCCTCTCCTTCGGAGAGGTGGTATAAATATCATCAGGTAGAGTAGATCAAAATTTGTTCTAATTATGACACCCGAAGATGAAAGTTTTCGGATATGAATACATAGGAAAAACCTATGAACAATCTTCTTCTCAAGAACAGGAAAGTCTTGATTAGTCATATTTATATAGAGGCATCATTAAGTACTGTAGTTTTAGATTTTTTCAAATCATGACCCTTGAGGGGTAGGGACTGCAGGGATGGGGTAATTGTAATCGAGTAATCGTAATCGATTGTAATGATTACTTTTTTTCAAGTAATCGACAGTAATCTGTAATCGAAGAGATTTTCGATTACTTGTAATCGTAATTTAATCGATTACAGCTAAAATTTTCAATGTAATTATAATTACTTTTTCAATTACTTTCGATTATTTTATACATCAATGGATGTTATTTTCGAGGATTATTTCCAGTCAGCCACACATAAATATCAATATAAACCACCTAGTGTAATGTTTGGATTTCCTAACTTTTATTATGATAAGTTTAATAGTGTTCTCAATAAAATCTGCATTAAAGACCTACTGGTCTAGTATTAAATAATTCAGAAGTGTATTTCAACCATTTATTAATAAAATATACAGATTTTTGTGTGTGCATTTTACATTTTACCCACTGTCCATTTGCTGCACGTCCTTTAATTTTCATATTTCAGATGTTGAAAAACTTTGTCGTGTAATAGAAAATTATAAATAGCAAAATCAGATTTAAGTGCTGTATCAAATATAAATAATTTGGTAAATAAACTACATTGTACTTGAAAAAAAGATGGAAATACTTATTCATATCTGAAAATGTTTAAACAACTTCAAACTTGTGTTTAAGTAACTTTAAAATTTGCAAAATCATGCATTCTCATGTTTTCATTCAAAATTGTAAAATTGCTTTTATATCAGTGAGAGGTTATAAGTGTCTATAAGAGAGGGAGTGTGTCACTGTGTTTGCTTATCTTGGCTAATTAATTGACTGAGACATCCCTGATTTGCAGATAATGAGGTGTAAACTGTGAACTACCTAGTGTTTAACTTTCATTCCACTGAAGACAAACAATATTATTAAAACAATTAATAGCTCTCAAAACACTTATTTCAATACAGAATGAAATTGTGCTATTAGTTTAATTACTTAAAGATACATTTAATTTACATGTTTATTACTAAGAGTTCTAATTTACTTACTTTGTTGAAAACGACACATACAGGAATGTTTAATGTGTACTGTCAACATATGGGCAGCCCAAATACTTCTAATGAAGTAATTCACAATAAAATATTCAATAATCTTTGCAACAAGTCAATAAATATGGAGGTTCAGATCCAAGGTTGAATGGTATAATTAATTCCTTGGCATATTTTATTGTAGGAATCATGTCTCCACTTTCCATGGTAGAGAATCCCTCATTTGGGCATTTAGTGAGAATGTTAGCCAGAATAAAACCTTAAAAGAATCTGCACTGAAACTGCAGGAACACATTCAAACTTCAGTGGATAACATCAGCATTTACCATTTAAATATTGCTTTGATATTTGAAGGGATAAAAACCTGGAAGTAATCGATTATTAATCGATTACATCTTCCAAAGTAATCGATAACAATCGATTACAGGGCAAAAATGAGTGTAATCGATTAATAATCGATTACACAAAATTCCTCTAAGTAATCGATTATTAATCGATTACATTTTTCAGTAATCGTGCCCATCCCTACTAGGGAGGGACTACAATTGGCGATCAAAGTTTTAATTACGAATTATTGGAAAAAGAATTTGCTGATGAAGAACAAGAAGGGCCGTAACTGCTCAGGTAATCGCTGTTATTCATTGTATATATATTTCAATGTACGTGCGTGCCGAAATTAGTAAAATATTCTTGTGAGAGTCATTTTCTATAAAGAACACACGCACACAACCAAAAAACAAAATTACCAACAATGTCACTAGAATTACGGGCATTCAACGTTTATTTTCCTCTGTTTAGTATGGAAGGGAATTACCGCCAAAAGTCTATTTATCTTGCTTTTATTCTTATTCTGCCTACTTCTTTATTCTTTGTTATTATTGTAACTATATGTCACTTTATTGTTTTCATATTCGTCTTTATTCAATTTCACTATGAACTTTTTTCATTCTTCATTTTGTCCTTACTTCTATGTTGCTTGTTTCTTGTAAATTCGGTCTTCTTTAATTTAAATTGATACAGTTTCTTTAATAAATAATTATGATCATCTCTATTACAAATGTAAATTCAGTCACGCAAACCATGAAGCGCATTCAACGAAGACGAATACAAGTAGTGTGAATTTACTGCGGCATTATAACGCTAGGCGGCAGGGTGTTCGCTGCGAGTGTTGGTAAAATTAGGTACGCAAACCCGGGCCGAGGTTATTCGAGATTTTTCAAATTTCTGCCTTAATACTTTATCAATCGAACCCAAATTTTCAAATATGTATGTTATAGGTTCAGACATGTACCCGGTGTCGCTCCCCCTGTAGGCTGTCTAGATGATACGACTTCCCCCGGAAGACTAGCTATATAGTGAGACTTCTCCAGGGGAAAGTCTCACTACATAGTCAGTCTTCCCCCTTCATAGCGAAACTTCCCCCTTTAATTTAGTTTCCGAGTATTTTTTTTTTATTGTAAAACAATGTTTTTATACTAACGTTTTCAGTGTTAGGATAAAAGTTATCCGTCCTATATGAATGAAAAAATAAATATATGAATAAATAATTAAAACATTTTAATAGTGATTTTTATAATTAAAACTTCTTAACCATGCAGGTAAACATAGGTAAACTGCACGTTTCTACGGGTAATGACCTCTTTACTGTTAAACTAATTATGTCTTTTTTTCTTTTGATAAGAATCGTCTCGGAATAATACTTTAATCTGCTGTGCACGATAAATTTTTAATGCGCACTTTTATATTGATTCATTTGAAACTATTCATCTTTTTTTTTATATATAAGATCATTACCTAAATATGCAATATATACATCGTCGATGTAAATAAAATCGAAACTGACCAAACACGGAAGGGGAAGTCTCACTATGGTCGTTTAGGGCGGAAGGCTCACTATATAGTCATTGCCCCCCCCCCCCCCGGAAGGGAAGTCTCACTATATAGCAAGACTTCCGGGGGAAGACTCACTATGGGGTAAGTCTCACAATATGACACCGGTAGCGGGGGGGGGGGGGGGGGGGGCTGGCCACCAAACATTTTTCTAGCCATAACTTTTTACTACTGAAAATGTTAAATGAAAGTCTGGTTGACCCCCTCCCACTTTTTGTTGTAGTTTAGTCAATTAAGGGCCATGTACGTAGTGACGTATGAGTAAAATTTGGTACTGAAAGAAGTTGGACCCCCTCCCCCCACATAAAATTTTCGAGTTTGAAGAATTTTTCTCTTTTTTGTTTGTTTGTTTGTTTGTTTTGGTTTGTTTGTTTGTTTGTTTTTTGTTGTTTTTTTTTTTGTTTTTTTTTGTTTTTTTTTTTTTTTTTTTTTTGCTTGTCAAGATTTTTAGGTAAGTTATTTTTTTTTGTCTGGCTGCCCCTTTCAAAAACAATGCTACGTCTCTAAGTTTTATCTGTATTCGCTGTAAAAATTGCCAATATTTATATTCATGTATTTAAATTTTGAAAATCTCAATATTTTAGAGTATTTTTTGGCGATTTTTGACTACCAATTTGCTAAGATGGGTAGGCAATATCAAGCCGACATTTTATGTATTTTTTGCCAAACGAGACATTGACAAAATAATTTTTGAGTTATTCTGATGTCAAACACTGTGTGCTTACTAGAGATATTTATTTCTTTATTGAAAAGTGCTATTTCTATACAAAAAATTAATACATATTTTCATAAAAACCGGGGAAAGTTTCTAGTATGCCCCGGTCTAGCCTGGTTCCGGCCACGCCTACCCATGACGTTCCGCACTACTTTGCAGAGCATTGCATTATGGGTTGGCCGAAACCCTAGCCCCTCGGTCCCCAGAATCAAGCAACTGCGGATGAACAGTTATCCTGAAATAAAGAAATGTCAGTTCAGTGGAAGAATATATAGGGGTCCTGAAAAACAACTCAATTTATTAGGGTATACTAGTAATTATCAAAATATTTAATATTTTTTTTATATCAATAAAACTGAAATTCAATCATCCAACAAATAATTTGAATAGAGTTACTTATATTTTTCAGGTGACAGAAAATGCACAATTATTTTGGAGTTTTCATCATTGGTCCGGTTTTAATGACCCAGATTTTCTAAAAACGTGTTATTTAAAGCAACAAAAATACATTTGAAAGAAGAAATGCTTATAAATAGTTAAAATATATTGTTTAGCATCAGAATAATTTATAGATTTATTAGCTTTTTGTTAAAAAAAAAAACAAAACAAAACAAAAACAAAAAAAAAACACTAAAAATGTCAGCGTGATACTGCCTTCCAAAAACTTGGAAATCAAATAATTTTCTTCGAGAAAATCTAAAATATTGAGCATTTCGGGACAATTTTACCGCGTATACTAATAAACCTATAACTAACATAACTTGAAAATTTGGGTTCGATTGATAAAGTATTAAGGCAGAAATTTGAAAAATCTCGAATAACCTCGGCCCGGGTTTGCGTACCTAATTTTACCAACACTCGCAGCGAACACCCTGCCACCTAGCGTTATAATGCCGCAGTAAATTCACACTACTTATATTCGTCTTCGTTGAATGCGCTTCATGATTTGCGTGACTGAATTTACATTTGTAATAGAGATGATCATAATTATTTATTAAAGAAACTGTATCAATTAAAAAAAAAGAGGAACGAATTTACAAGAATAAAGCAACATAGAAGTAAGGACAAAATGAAGAATGAAAAAAGTTCGAAGTGAAATGTAATAAAGACGAATATGAAAACAATAAAGTGACATATAGTTACAATAATAACAAAGAAGAAAGAACTAGGCAGAATAAGAATAAAAGCAAGATAAACAGACTTTTGGCGGTAATTCCCTTCCATAGTTTAGCGTCTGCCTATCATTCAAATACCTACGAATCTTGAGCATGAAAAAAAAATCTTGAAATGGCCTAACAAAGTTCATCAGTAATTTAATTAGCTTTCTTTCAAGCTTTTTCTCAGATTTTTAAAAAAGTCTATGGCATTCTAAATGTCTTCATTACGTGTCAGAAGATGGCCTTGAGTCTTCTTGCCAGAGTTGTTGCATTAACATAATGTGAAAGATTCAGAAAGAACGGGAACTTCTTCGTATGTCAGAAAGTGGCATACATGTACATGCAGTGAAGTTTTTTATGCCCCCGTAATCGAAGATTCGGGGGCATATAGTTTTTGTCCTGTCCATCCGTCTAGCTTCTGTCTGTCTGTTTGTCCGCAAAAACTTTAACCTTGCCCCTAACTTTTGATTTGTTGGAGCTATGGCTTTCATATTTCACGTGTGTATTCCTTGTGACAAGACCTTTCTTTGGGTACCATCATATTTGACCTTGACCTTGGAGTTTGACCCATTTTTGTAAAAATTTTTGAGACTTTATCCTTGGCCATAACTTTTGAACATTTGGACCTTGGGCTTTCAAACTTCGCATGTGTATTCCTTGTGAGGAGTCCGTCCTTTGGATATCAAAATCTTTGACCATTTGACCTTGAACTTGGAGTTTGACCTACTGTTGAAAAAACTTTAACCTTGGCCATAACTTTTGAACAGTTTGAGCTAGGTCTTTCATACTTTGTGTACTCCTTGTGACAAGACCTTTCTTTGCATACCAACAACTTTGACCTTTTGACCTTGGAGTTTGACCTACTTCAATTTTGAAAAAAATTAACCTTGGCCATAACTTTTGAACAGTTAGTGCTAGGGTTTTCATACTTCACATATGCATTCCTTGTGAGAAGACTTTTCTTTAGATACCAACGCTTTTGACCCTTTGACCTTCACCTTGGAGTTTGACCTACTTTTGGAAAACTTTAACCTTGGCCATAACTTTTGAACAGTTTGTGTTAGGGCTTTCATACTTCACATATGCATTCCTTATGCCAGACTTTTCTTTGCAAACCAACAACTTTGACCTTTTGACCTTGACCTTGAAGTTCGACCTACTTTTGAAAAACTTTAACCTTGGCCATAACTTTTGAACAGTTGATGTTAGGGCTTTCATACTTCACATGTATATTCCTTGTGACAAGACCTTCCTTTGGATACCAACAGTTTTGGCATTGACCTTGACCTTGGAGTTTGACCTACTTTTAAAAATTTTTTAACTTTGGCCATAACATTTGAACGTTTGGTTCTAGGGCTTTCTCATTTCACGATCATGTGTATCACTTGTGATAAGTACTTCCCTTGGGCACCATTTGACCTTGCCGTTTTACTTTAAAAACTTTAACCTTCGACATAACTTTTCAAAGGTTTGTACTAGGGCTTTCATATTTCACAGGTACATTCCTCGAGACAAGACCTTCTTTGGGTACCAACATTTTTAATTTCTTGACCTGGAGGTTGACTTGCATTTAAGAAACTTAAACCTTCGTCATAAGCTGCCATACGGGGGCATCAGTGTTTCACAAACACATCTTGTTTCCTCTAAAATTGCACCAAAAAATACACATCGATCTATAGCTTATAAAGAGCACACATACTCCACAAAATTTAATATCTAGAACAGGGCTGACTCTAGAGTCCTGATAAAAACCGTTCATTTCTAACTAAATATTATGAAGTTTCTATATATAAACGTTCTTAGATTTTCTTGCAGCCAGCCAACAGCTTGTGTATCCCTAAAGCCCTTGATACCCGCCACAAAGGTTAGTTTACATACGCTGACTTTAAGACCTGTTAGATGAAGTACCTTTATCTTGACACATGGTTTAAGTAGAGACTTGATGTCGGAACTATTGTAAATATATTGCCGCACCTTCCCACAAAAGATCTTCTCTGTAATCTAGGTGACCTTAAGTGACCTATAGGTCACAGGTATATGTATCCAGACACTGAATAAATGGACTTCTGGTCGGTAGCTTAACACTTAAAACTATCTGGAAGCCGCTGCTAAAATAAATCGATCATAGTGATATGCAATTTGTAGACTTCGAGTGATCTGGATTTTTTCTTAAAATGCCCTTTTCTAGGATGGGTACTCTTTTTTTCTCTAAACATTTCTACGTTAGCAACATTCATCTGTTTCGAATTTCTATAAAATACCAATTTTCATTGATATATACTGTGATAATCCTTAATAGAATTTAATGTCCTAAATTAAAGTACACAAACCCATTGATTTACAAACAAAATTACGTAAGACCAAAATTCTGCTTAAATCCCTCAATAAATTAGACAAATTCAATGTCGGATTGAAACTGAACCAACTTAATTCTTTGATGAGTTATACAAGACCTTCACAGCTATCTTGAGCTTGAAACACAATTAGCTCTGGGAACCCTAATTATACCCTGCCATAGGAAGGATCCGCGAGTAAACACAGCGGCGTTAACGACTTCTCCCCAACAGCCTGGTACTCTCATAGTTCGGAATGCTGAATGACTTTCGCTTTGTAACCCTATCAGAATTCTGTGGAAATATTGTAAACTATGTCATTCTGTGATTATCAAAGGCTACCGGGCTGTGCCAGTAGGGATATCTGATTGTAGAATGAAGTTATAATTGTGTTTAGACATATTCAGCCAGGCAATCTTTGTGTGGTGGTGGGATTACTACTGTTTGTTGCTCTTTGTTATTTGTTTCATTGTCGTTTAGGATCTATACAGAATTAACTCTCCCTTTATCACCTTTGGACAGAACGCTGTTCATTCGTCCCTACCATCCGTAATGGTTGTGAGAGGGGTATAGAACTTTAAAATATTTACCACCTGTGAAGTGCGGGGTCGAGTGTTAAGCTAGGTGCTTTATAAGTGGATGAGGGATAGCTCGACATGGTGGTATAATTATGCGGAGAGTACGTCTATGCTTTCTTTTTCTGGTAAGGCACTTGTTCCAAATTGTAGACTCTTTGAAATGCAGCTCATCTTTTGAAGCTAATGATTAGGCAGTGTTATGTAAAAGGGCCCACCCGTGAAAAGTTTGAGGTTGTGTGTTTAATTCATGTACTTTTTAAGCCGAAAAAAGATTTTCTAATTGTAGTAGAGAATAGCACTGCCTAAAAATACACACTTCTTAAAAGAAAATATAAATCAAACGTTTAAATGTTCTATTGCTTTATCTAATGATTTATATTTTATAAAGCAGGAAAATTGATATACCTTCAATGTGTCTTCACTAAAATTTAGTGTAACCAAACGAAATCAATTTCAATTATTTTCACAATCCTCCAATAAACCGATGTAATCAAATTCTATTATTTATAGTAACTCCATTTGAGTCTCTCTGCTCTGCAGACAAATCTTAGATTTTAATGAACTCATAAACCAACATGATCTGGTAGGGCAGCATTCGGTGCATGCGTGTAATGCCAGTAGATTATGTCAGAAGTCATGTCGTTTATCAATAATTTAGAGCTACAGATGCTTTTTGCAAATTTTAACTCTTGCCTTCTCGTTTATAAGTGGGTGATCGCGAGACAGACCTGTCAAGTTTATGATTTTTACATAAGAACACGTATGATTCATTAAAAAAAATCTAAATGAATGCCATGGTTTGGACACTGTCAACAATTAATTTTAGGGCATATTTGACGTAAGGTAAATTGTAATGATCGAAGGTATATAAGGGGAACTTAATTGTTAATTTAGGGTAAAGTGATCCCTACGTGTCGCTCTGCTCTGCGACACAAGTTTCCTCTGTATAATAGAATTATTGGAATGAAGTACTGAGTCCTTAGTTACACTTTTTTTCATCATAACGAGTTACCATGCATCAGTTACTCAGAGAAGTTGAAGGTCACAACGGGAGAAACGTGTGATCCTTCATCACTTGTAACATCTTGATTTGCAACATCCCTTATTTACTCTGAAAAATATCAAATGTAATGCTAAAAAGTGGATGCATATGTTCTGTTTTATTTGATAATAATAATGATAAAAAAAAAGAAACTGGAGTTTTGTTCCTAGTTCGGTTGTCTGGTCGATACAATTGTTCCGTCTCCACTCTGTCTTGTTTAAGCATATCAAGAAGATGCCATCATATAAAACATCTAACAGACAATTAGTAGATTTGTATAGCTTAGATTGTTGACCAGGATAGATATACAAGGAATTAGTGCATTCTCTCTATTCGTTAATAAGCCATACTATATTATATTTCTATCAAAGTCGGTCAATCAGTTTGAGATTATATCCGACCGTATTGCAGGATGTCAATGAGGGTGAAGCTAATTTTAAAAAGATGAGAAATTTTCATTTCATTTTAAAGACGTGTTTTTCTGAGAACAAAGATGTCAGAATGTTATTGCTGAAAAAAGGGGGTTAAACTAGTGCAGTTCGTTCTCATTTTTTTTTTTTAAAAAAGTGCTGCATCGTTTCTCTATGGAGCATACAAAGAAATCATCAGAAGTTTGATATGATACGTTACTGTGTCTTAATTCATTATTGTATTGCATGTATTTACATCAGAGATGGATATTGAATGTCCTTCATAATGAAATCATTGTCGCTTTTATAAACTTGCATTGATTTCTTTCACTATTATGTACGTTGTTTTAACTTAGATACACAACGGAAATTCAACATTGATTATGAATTAAAACAAATTTGAAAAAAAAATAGGCCAAATCTATACACTCCGTTAACTTTTGGAGTTTTTATATACTCCACACGTCTCTGTCTGCCGCACTTTGATTAATTTTAGATGTGTAACAAGTCATTGTTGGTTATCAGAGGAAAGATAAGGGTCATTTTTAATCTGTTTAGTAAACATGGAAAAAAACAACATGTTGCTTTGAATATGAACAAGGATATGTTATGTTCACACTCAGAGAGAATTTGATATTTTATTGCTAATGTTATTGCATGCACTGAACCCTGTATTTATCAACTTCACACAAATATAACTAAATTGATATACAGAAAATGATCATTTACAGGCTTGTATTTAAGGATGTAAATTAGTTTCTCTCCGTTTGATCCAACACTAACGGAATGTCTTTTTCTTAGAAGTCGTGCATGTTATGTATCAGATTGCGTTACTTTGAACAATCTCCATTTTACAAATGAGAACAGTTCAAGGTGGCCAGCTTCCATGTTATCAGCGTATCTGGTAATAAAACCAGACAGGATGAAACATTTTAACGTATTTGTTAGAGACTCTGATTTAGTTTTTTGGGTGGTATTATTATACTTTACAAAATAACAATAAAATGAGAAGGCTCGATTGTATGACCCAGATTCCAACCCATTTTTTTTATTTTCTCCATACCTTAATATTTTTGCAGATTTATCTTCACGACTCTGAAGCTCGTTGGTCTGGATGGAGTGCTTGGAGTATATGCAGCAAGTCATGTGACGGTGGATTGTCCCATCAGAAGCGTCAGTGTTTCGGTAATAGCAATTGCCTTGGACCGGAAGTCAGATATCGTCATTGCAATATTAGGGTATTTCTTTTTCTTCATAAAGTGTATATTTGCGCCTGCCTTAAGGAGGATTGACCCTCTGAAAAGATACTTAGCTCTCAAAATGTTAACTCGGGATGATTCCTGTTTTAAAGTTCATCTTTCGTGATTTTGCACCGCATGGTATAATCACTCGGAGCTCCTCGGGTGGCTCGTGCCTCGCACACTAACCTCGGACGTGAACGGTGTTCTACCATTTTGCTACTTGCAATCCTGTGAACCAATCTGAAATTTCTCCAAATTATTCCTTTGAAATCGAGTTACTTTGTGGCACTCCCTTCTCTACGTTTCTGATTTCAAAGACTACTAAAAGAAGGTTGTAATCAAAACCAATGTACTTATGTTACTTAGGACGTATTAGACGAGATCGGATACTTTTTGGTGCAGTGTAAAATATGAAATGGGTTAAAAGGCAGTTCCAGTGGTGAAATGCATCAATTTTCTCCGCCAATCACATCCGAGGTTTGTATGGAGCGTAGCGGAGTCAGCCGAATATTTCCGATTGTGGTATAATTAATGAATCATCAGGAACACCTCGAGCCATTCATAGAAATACAGTCCTATTCTATGAGAATTTTGAGGTGTTCCAGGTGATCAGGAATTTGCTTATATCTCTTTTTTTTTCTTCGTCTTCTGTAGTAAAATTGGAAAATTATAGAAAAAATTCATTATATTAAGTAGAGGGGTGCTTCTCCTTTAATTGGTGAGTAGAATATGAAATCATTCGTTACTTTGCAGGCTTGCAGTGGCTACCTTATGAACGACAACGACAGGATATGTAATTTTCACAATAGCATAGGGTCTGCGAATCAGGAGTGGGCCCCGCTGTCACAGCAGATATACCCATGTTACGTTTTCTGTAGAGATATGTCTGGAAACATTCCGAATGAAATCAAAACTGATAAAGAGGATGGCACAAAGTGCAGCTCTCAGGCCAATTTCTACTGTATCAGGGGAGAATGCAAGGTACAATATACTCCCAGTCCTGTTTTGTAGAAAATTTAATGCTCCTCTTTTTATCTAATGATTTCATCTATGTATTACATAATTATTACATGCATTACATTTTAAAATACATGATTGAGATACTGGTTAAGATTGATTTTACGAAAATGGACATTAATAAATGTTATGCTGTTCAAAACCTTGCTTAATTTTCACACTATATGTTATAATATTTGAGTTTCTTTTTAATATATAACAAAAATAACACGATAATGGTTTAATTCTATCAGAGACTTGGTTGTGATGGAGAGGTGTGGTCTAACAAGTTGATTGACAGCTGTGGTATCTGTGGAGGTAATGGGTCTACATGTACTGGCAATCTCACACAGTCACATTTCTATTGGCTCGTGGAATGGACGCCATGTTCGGTTACTTGTGGTGTAAGTGCTAAGAAAAAAAATTGCAATTTCATGGTTTATAAAGTATTCATGACCATATACTTTACTATACAATGTAAAAAGTTAGGTCCAAAGTATCCAAAAAAAAAAGCAATATGTTTAAATTGCAAACACTTTAAGCCCTCACTTTCTGTTTAGTATGAGAATTTTTTATATTTAGAATATCTCTTGTTCTAGTTTTTTGTTTGTTTGTGTGGATTTTTTTACAATTTTCTTTCATCAAACTTTTTACTTATTTTCTAAGGTTTTAACCTGAGAATCCATGATTTAAGTACATGTGATGAAATTACTTGGGAAGGGGGATGGGTGGGGAAAAGTACATTCTACCTTAAAAAAAATTCTCTTAGAACCAAAGAAACTTTGTGTATATAAATAGTGAAAATCATGCTACAAATGGTTAGGTTCTAAGTTTCGTGACAGAAAGTAAAATAAATTGAATTAGATTTACTTTTCCCTTGGTCAAAAAATATTTTTAAACTTTTCAAAGAAATAAAGTAAAAAATAATCATTTTTCGTATATACAGAAATAATTTAATTTTGTTTGTATTCTAGCCTCTGATTGGTTAATATCCAAAAAGGAACACAAATTATTTCTGTATAACCTGGTTTGGTATGGGGACACCCCCCCCCCCCCCCTGATAACCAGCTGAATCGTCTGTATCAATGCAATCATCTCATTTCTAGTCCTAGGGATTCATGGAAAATTCCAGATTTAATAAATGTACCTTTTTCTTCGAACAGTAACTCGGATCTTACCACATGTAATCAAACAACATGGCTGCTAGGACTATGTATCAGTTTTTACCTCCCCTCGCTTCCCATCACTTCCGTTACTACGGTTGTATTATTGAGCGGCAAATTTGAATTAATAAAAAGCAACGAAATTTTACAACCACAGTTGTTTAATGATTTTAAAATTAAATTATAAGGAATGACTCTAATTCTTGGCCAAATTATTCGAGTATAAGCTGGTTTTGGTCAGTTTACGCTGTTTTATAATCCGCTTCGCGGATTATAAAGCGTAAACTGACCCAAACCAGGTTATACTCGAATAATTTGGCCAAGAATTAGAGTCATTCCTAAATTAATTTTTCGTATAATTAAGGCGTAACAAAAAAATATGTTTGTTTACGGTTACCCGACCGACCCTATATTTAATCGCCGACCCAATTTTTTTTTTTTGGTCGTAAAAATCCAGAAGTCACTCACCGGTCAGTTTAACTTTTACATGCATCTTATTCGGTCAACGGTTTGAAATCGAAAGTACTAGAAATAGACTATTCCTAGTATTTTCGATTAAATTATTATAAATTTTTCCCCAGGCCGTTTTTGCATAGCGATACCGCCATGCATTCAAGATCTCCCGCCATGCATCAAAAATTGCCGCTATGCTTCCTGCTATGCATGAATTATTAATGGTATACAATTATTTAAGAAGATGATATACTTTGAATGTTATCAGTTATTAATCTATTAATAAAACAATTCAAATCACTAGAATCCTACAAACATGTTGCATACCTGTGGTACGTGAACTCGATGCGAATTACGGTACGGGGTATGATGCAATATAGCTGTCAATTTATGTTTATTGCAATTTACTGGTATGTTATTAAACATTAAGTTTTTATTTGATTAAAAAATATTTAAAACCATGAAAAATTTATTAATTGCTGTAAGATAGTATACACCATGAAAGTAATACACTTGTTATTGCACATGTGGGTTTTTCCAACATTTCCAGGTCATTCTATAAATAGTATTTATGTTCCGACATCAAAAAGGATTCATTAGTTACACACATAATTCTTAAACCATTTTTAGCATAAATATATGCTTAAAATAAACATATCCTATAAACATTATCATTGTTTATTTACTCTATGAACTATGGGCTAGTACTTCGGTCAAGCGCACGTGCTTTAATACACAATGACCTACATGTACATTCAACAGCTTACGTTGAAAAAAAAAAATCAGACACCAATGTAACCATGTTGTCATTGGTGCTACATAGTGTGCACCCTTTTTTGTTTAAAGATGACTGTAAAAGTAGGGACAACCAAAAAAATGGAAGTAAATTTGAAAAAAAAAGGGGGGGGTCCACTAGGGCCTATTCAGTTTGTAGAGAGCAAGAATAACACAGCACATAAAAAGACAGTGGCTAATTAGAGGAAAATAAAAATACCAATAAAAAAATGATGATTAGATCTATTCTTATAAAAAATAATTCAATTAATTGTTTGTTTTTTTAAGTTAAATTGACAGTTTATTCAAAATATATTTATCATTTAAATTTTTAAAAAATACATGTATGTAAATTAATAATGGTAATGCATTTGTATTTTTCACTTAAATATAGATTCAGATACATGACGCAATGTACAAGTAACTCAACCGAGACACGCTGCACGCCGTCAATATTCAGCAAAGTTCCCCCATGCATTAAAATTTGTCTGGAGTAAACACTAAATTTATTAGTCAGTGCCACATGGAATTAAAGAAGAAATACCAAACAGTTTTACCATTGTGTGGTAGCTGTAAGTCAGTTGGCAAGAAAGATATTGTCTATTGCCCATATGGCAAGCCCAAACAAAAGTAAAGCATCACACAATGGTAAAACTGTTTTGTATTTCATAGTGGTGTTCCAATCATCGATTATAATCGAAAATCAGTTGATTGCTGGTATAATCCAAGCGCTTGATTACAAAATTTTTATTCTGATTAATCGGTTTATTATTTTTTTTAACAAGCGTAATAGTTTTTGAACCAAATATCCCAGCCAAAACTTATCTATGAACTTGTTTGTGTATCACAATGGTGCAGACGAACAGACAATTGTATCCATACCTGGGAAACAAAACATGTTCCCGGGTATGGACGTAAGTTTTATATCTGTACAGCGTATGACGAAAAATTAAAGAAAAACAGATACACACTCAATATAACACTCAGATGATATCCTTTTATTCTTTTTCAGCAAAATGAGCAACAAATACATATGCAGAAAGTAGTCATTTACCCATTCTTACCATTTAATTAACTAAATTGATAGCCTTTGTTAATGTCCGATTATAATCGATAATTAGTTAGTTACAGTTACCCGATCATCGATTATGAAATTCTTACTGATTCCCATCACTAGTATTTCAACCAATTCATGTGAATTTGTAAATAAAAAAATTCAATAAAATAAAAAAAAATCCCTACCTACCGACCCTATTTTTTTCAGCATGTAACAGTAAACAAACATATTTTTTTGTTTGGCCTAATAGGATTAAGTTCATGTTGTGTACTACTATATATTCAGACAGGTCATCAAAAGTCTCGTATAAAATGCATAAATAGACGAACAAAGAGAAGAACAATGGATTATTATTGTGACAGAGAAAGCAAACCTAGCGACCTTACCAAGGAATGTTCCCTAGCAGACTGCCGATCTCAGTAGGTTGTCTCAGTCACAACAGTTCTTTGAATTTCAATAGTGATTATCGATCCTGGAGGTTCACCTTGTCATTTAAGAACGTTAGTTGATCATTTAAATATAAATTATTTTGATTGAAAAAAAAACTGTTGTTTGTTCCGATTTTCTCTTTTCCTGACTAGACCAGTGGGAGTAGTAGAAATGAGCAAAAATTAATCGAACTTTTTGTTTCCCTTGTGAAAAAATACTGTTTGTTTTCTATCATACCTAAACAGAATGGTGCAGTGTAGCAATGCTTTGATGTGTCGATTGATTATTTTGTGTTTGTACTAAAATAAAGTTTAAAAAATCTTTTTTTACGCTATTGAAGATGGGAAATTTCTTCTTATGGGCGATGTTCTGTGGAGTGTGGCGGAGGAGTACAGCGTCGTCATGTCCGGTGTGTTCAGCGGTCTGGAAGAGCAAACATTATTACTGTGAGTTTTTCCCAGTGTCCAGATCCAATCCCGATCTCAGAGAAGGCTTGTAATCTGAACTTTTGTCCCGCCAGGTGGCAGACTGGTAAATGGAGCCAGGTTTGTCTTGATACATATTTTTACTATAAATTTAATGTAACTTTAATCTTGTTAACTGAAACTTTATCCGTAATTTACCACTAAGAATGTTTAATTTAAAATATTCATATTGTGCACGTCAATTTAATATTAGGTCTTTGCAGATACTTTAAAACTTTACCCTTGTTTGTGATTTCAGTGTTCAGTCACCTGTGGTATAGGCAATCAACTCCGAAGTCTGACTTGCATCAAGTCTCCTTCTCACGGGATACAGATTAACGTTTCTCATTCGGAATGCTTTGGTGCTCGACCAGAGACTTCGCGCGCATGTTCAGTAGAGGCTTGTTTTAAAGACTTTTATTCAGTTCCTTCCATTGTCGTGGATAATTCTACATTCATTCAGACTCGTCGAATGAAAAGAGTGTACCTTAATGTCGGCGGTAAAGCTATTTTATTACCAAAACAACCGGTGAAAATTACATGTATTGTAAAAAATATGGATAGAAGACTAATATTTTGGACAAAAGACGATCGACTTATACCCGTTTCGCCTTATAAGAGAGTTCATGTTCTTCCAAATGGAGTACTTAAAATTAAACGAACAGATCCAAACATAGACACGGGAGTGTTTACTTGCATGGCAGGGATTGAAAAAGCCAGCATCTATATAACGTTTCAGGACAAGAAAAAGGCAACTAAGACAGCTAAAACAATGATAAAGCATATGGAGAATGATAGGATAAGTTTAGATAAACCACAATCAGACAAAATCCCAGGGCCAGACGGTTCTCTTAAAGCTATAGATAGTAACAGCTCCGAAGTAGCGGAATTCATGGTTGGTGATTGGTCCCCATGTTCAAGGACGTGTGGAACGGGGTTACAAACACGGGAAGTGAAGTGTAGTGTGTATACAAATAAGTATATAAAAATTGTCCCGGTTAAACAGTGTGAGCAGCAAGACAAACCGGTAAATGTTAGAAAGTGTTTAGTTCAGGAATTCTGCCCACAGTGGGATGTAGACAAGTGGGGAGAGGTGAATCTTAGTTTTTCTCATTATTCGTATGGAAATCTGCTTGCTTCATATAAAAATGACATATACCTTGTTTGTACCATAAAAAAAGTTTTGTAAGACAAACAAATTAGCAAGGTATGCGTTTCTGCACTAGTTTATAGTTTTTAATGTTCACTGTAATGCTAATTCTATTTCAGTGTAGCGTAAAAACATGCAAAAGGATAGGTAAGGCGGTACAACGACGAACGGTGTTTTGTACAAACGGAAATGGTACTATTATACATCGCTCTAAATGCCTGAATATTACCGTACCAGTGGCTTTTCGGGAATGTGACAACAAGAAATGCAAGGTGGAATGGCAAACTTCCAGGTGGACGAAGGTAAAATTTGTTCATATTTACAAAGCGCCAAAAGGGAGGGCCCGTATTATATACTCTAGGTCACCTAATTTTCGCGACACCATATTTTTAATATTTTTAAGATAGCTATTTGGAAATTAGAAGGGGAATAAAATTTTCAGGAATTCTGGTTGTTACTGTTTTGTATAATTTATATTAATAAAAATATACTCGGAAATTAAATTTTCGCGAGCAGACCTCTCGAAATAGAGCAAAATTAAATTTTCGCGAGCAGACCTCTCGAAATAGAGCAAAATTAAATTTTCGCGAATAAAAAGTGATATACAGTACGGACCGCCAATTCGAGCAGGAACTGTCCAGCGTAGAGTAAGGGTTTCATTATTTGCATTTTAAACGTGAAACTAGTAAGTATTCGAGATAAATGTCAGTTTTACAAAGGAATAGTTACTTAAGATATTACATGATGTTTCAGTGCAAGCCACATTGTACGCGTCGTGGGAAGAAGTTCCGGTTGTTTTCGTGTGTGTGGAAGAGTACACGTAAACTTGCTTACACTCAGTGTAGAACACTTCCTCGTCCGTTGGCATGGAAACCGTGCAAGTCCAAGTGTAAAAAAGGTATTTGTTGAAAGTATAACAAAGTCACATATTATCATGCTTTTGCCATAAATTGGTGAATGGGGGAGGGTTGGGGACTCAATATATTGAGTAAAGTATCCATTTTATTATCGGCCGCAGAAGCGGCCGATCTATTTGTGGTTGTGTTAGAATGTGCACATGGGGAAATAAGACATTATTTTTTCACTGCTTCGTTGGAATAATTCCTTATTGATAATATATACGTAAAAGTTATGAATAAAAGTTTTTAAAATTTCCTGATTGCTATGTCTAAATGGTTGTTATTATGTTTCAATTTGTTTTTCGTTTCCCGTCAGATATTTATAAATTTAATGATTTTACAAAAAGTTGTTTCATGAACTGCCCCCCCCCCCAAACATAGGCGTGCGTAAGATATAAAAACAAAAGCTATATTGAGTTTCCGGATATGAATTACAGTGCCTTAAATAAATAATAAATTGGAATAAGAACTGAATTTTGTTTTGAATACACTGCAGTTACTGTTGCAAGTGACACAATGATATTTTTTTCTGCACTTCACATACATATCTATAAAAAACCTGATTTGCATTATCACGTGACAATGTTCCAGGGTATGAAAACATGAAGTTTGTTAGTCATTTTTAGGTCACCTGAGTCACTCACGTGACCTATTGCATATCCGTTATTGTCCGTCGTCGTTCGTCGTGTGTTAAGTGGCACATAGCATCTATGGGTGAAGGGGAACAAAATATTTGAATTTTATGGTCCCTGAGGGGTGGGGCTAAAACCACCAAAATTAATACAATCTTTTAAAATCTTCTTCTTTACTCCTGGACATTAAGCAGTCAGACTGTTGGCATGATTGTAATAAGCATTGAGCCCTCTACCAAAATTATGAAATTCATGGTCCCTGGGTCAGGGGTTCTGGTGCTAGGGTGGGGCTCTAATGATTATATTGCAAAAATGCATTAATTCTTTGAAAATTTTCCCCTCTGCTCCTGGGTATTAAGTCGATGAACTAAGTACATAGTTATGATGAGGAAGAGTGCCTCTTACAAAATTGTGAAAATTCATGGCCCCTGGGTCAGGGGTTCTAGTGTTTGGGTGGGGCTCTATTGATTATGTTGTTAAAATGTATTAATTCTTTGAAAGTCTTTTCTTCTGTCCCTGAGTGCTAAGCAAACAAACTAAATGCATTAATATCAATGTAAATGTATTAAATATAATTATAACTAAATGTGCCTTTTCTTTGCTCCTGGGTATCTAGAAAGAAGAGTTCAAAATTGTAATAAATTAAGCAAAGTTACTCCCCTTTGCTAGATAATATTAATCAAGAAATCCTTGTGTATATTTAATTAATAGGTTATTTGATTGATTGAGAATATAAGAAAGAATGTAAAATATATAGAAACATAAAAATGAACGTTTGGTTTAAATAAGCAAGGCATGCTCAAAATCAGATTCTTGCCTGGAAAGCAATATAAAAAATTGAAATAAAGATTATTTATATATTTTAGCAAAAGTTGTAATTGTACACAATATGTTTACACTGTTGTGATCTGTTAGACAGTAGATAAGTTTTTATCACTGGTAGAGACATGGTTGTTTTATGCTTAAAGTTTATCAAAGTGGACAAAGAATCACAGATAGCCATGCAGATGAGTTATTGTAATTAGTGACAAGTGGCAAATAGCCAGTTGTTTACCTAAGTCTGTGTGTACTGAATTGTAGCACTAGGCAAGTGACAAAAACATATCTGTATATATTGAATACCTTACACAATAGGCAAGTGTCCATTGTATTTGTATATTTTGCATTCATTATCATACCTGTAAGACCTGGGAAAACCAATTATGATCCCAAGGAGATCACTGGAGTCTAGCACATTACAATAAGCAACAGTATTTTTACCAGATTTTTGAAATTCTTGGGCAACATTGCTTCGTCTATCAGTTAGTTTTGTTTTATAATTCTATTGACCCTTTACAGTGTTTAATGGTACTCAGGTGACCGTTAAGACCCTTGGGCCTCTTGGTGCATTTATAAGCACTTAAGATTTTTGTTGAATATGTCCTTGAATCAAATACCTCGATGATGAAACATTCCTATCCTTTATCTCAGTCCGATTTTCTTTTCATATCAATGTATTTATTTCTTTGGATAGATATTTAACAATTGATCACTGAAAATTAAAGTGTAAATTTAAAAAAAAACGCACAGAAAAGTAAAAACAAGTGTAAAAGTGCATCATAGACTTCTTCTACTTGGATGTTTTTTTTCTCAAAACTCAAAACTTTGTTTCACCTCCAGGAAACGACATTTTTTCCCCCCGAATATGTAGTTTTCATCCCGTAAACATATATATTGAAAGTTTTCTGGGGGGAAAATCCCACCTTCCTAAAAATTCTATTTTTTTTTTATCCAAGTCAGGACAAACAATATTTTAAAGATGGCCTTACTCATATTTTTCAGAAAAGATAGATATTAAGCAAAATGACAAAAAACTGTTTGAGCTAATTGTGTTGAGAAACTCGTAAATGTTACTGAAGGAAAATATAAAGTTTAAAACTGTTTCCATCTTTTGCATAAACCTTACATGGCCGTAGAACCCCCCCCCCCCCAATAATATTGCCGATATATAGAATACTATAGAAAACAAATCTGCTTTTTGCTTGTATCCCCTTAATACGTGTAATAACGTGTAATGATAACCTTTTTTTTTTTTTTTTTTTTTTTTTTTTTTTTTTTTTTGTCAAGGAATTTTGGTAGTGCCCCCATCCCCAACTGAAATTGTTTGGTTGTGCCCCCCCCCCCCCAACTGAAATTGCTTCCTTGCCTTAATTACATTATCTCCATTAAACGTTGGAGATGCTCCAAAGCAAAAATGAACATCTTTATTTAAATTAAGAATACTGATTTAAAGAGAAGCGGTTGTCGTATAACATTTATCAGTCATATATAAATGCGTCTGACCTCAGTATTGTATTGGTGAAAATTGGAAATCCCCTATATTGCATACATTGCCATAAGTGAAACATTGTGTTTTAATTGAATGTTATTTTTTATGTACATTTCCCTATTAATTATTACGCAAAAATTTGTATTTCAGCGTGTCACGACCATTCCAGATATTGCTCCCTGGTGGGACAGTTAAAAATGTGCCGATACCAGACTTTTATAGACAAATGTTGTCAGACTTGTAAACATTTACTATACGTGTAATATTTATTTGTTGTATTATTGTTTTAAAAGATGAAAAATCAAATAAAATATTACAAACATGTAAATTTATATTTCAACTGTGTAGACTAAATTAAGCATACTGTTTGCATATGTTACAAGGGTCACTCAAAAAATGTATATAGACTTTTTATAGCTCATCTGAGCCGAAGGCGCAAGTGAGTTTTGCTGATCGAAGTGTGTCCGTTGTCTGTTGTCGTTGTTGTATACTGGGCCAATTTCAACTAAACTTACCACAAAGTATCCTTGGGTAAAGGGGATTCAAGTTTGTTCAAATGCTTCTTCCAAGGGGAGATAATTACGAATTAGTGAAAAATTAATGGCATCATAAAAAATCATCTCAAGAACCACTTTCCTAGAAAATTTGAAACTTATATGGAATCATCCTCAGGCAATGTAGATTCAAGGTTGTTCAAATCATGACCCCCGGGGATAGGGTGGGGCCACACTGGGCGATCATAGTTTTGCATAGGAATACATAGGGAAAATCTTTAAAAAAACAGCAAAGTCATGACTGGTCATTATACGCCCGTCTTTAGACGGGACGTATTATGTTATGGGGTTCATGTCCGTCCGTCTGTCTGTCTGTTAGCTTTTCTCGTGTCCGACTCATAACTTTAATACTATTAGGCCTAGGATGATCAAACTTTGTCAGCTGATACTTCTTGGGTAGATGGTGTGTCGCGCACAAAAAAGTAGGTCGTTCTGACCTTTAATTAAGATGCTATGGCCAAATATGGAAAAATCCTGTCCGGCTCATAACTAGAAAACTATTAGACTTAGAATCATCAAACTTGGCCAGTTTATGCATCTTAGGTAGAAGGTGTGTCGCGACCTATTTCAAGGTCACTGTGACCTTTAATTTAAGTGAAATTTTTAAAAAAAAAAACTGTCTTTTTACTATTATATTACACAATCCCAAAAAATATAAAAGTGTTGCAGTATCCTTATTAAAAAAAATGTTAAAATCAAGAAAATACTTATTTTTTTCATTATATACTTTACAGCAATCTATAACAAATATAATGTTACAAGAGAAATTCCACCTCTCCCATGGGTGTAATTATCAAGCACTGGTCAAGGAGAATTTTGATAACAGAAAATTGCATGTCAAATTAGAGAGAAATTAATTAGTTTAGTGTGAGGAGTTAACTGGTAGAGCATCTCTGATCAAGCAGGTGTTATCTATATCTCTTGGGAATTGGGCAGAGGAATCAGCCATGTTGGATTACATAGTTTTTGTGGGCTAGCCTAACTTTTAAAATGAATTTGGTGAAAAGTAATTAAAACTAATTTGATATTGTATTATATGTATTATAAACTGATTTGATATCTTATATGAAACTAATTAATTAAAACTAATTATACTCGGAAGGGGGGGGGGGTGATATTGGAATTAGCATGCCGGTTCTCCATATGAATTGCAGCTTAAAACCAGTCTGATATTGAGTCTAAAAAAAAAATCAAGTATTTCAAAAAAAAGTTTTAATTATGGTAGATAGTCCCTACAAATCTAAGAGTCAAGCAGAAACCTTATTAAAAATGTTGAATCAAGATTACATTTTTTTTTCTTTTTATAAATCTTTGTAACAAATTGAAAAAAAAAATCTTTGTTTTCAAATTTAATTTCAGTATGACATAAATATGCATTTTAATTGCACTACAAAGCAGATAGCGCAGATCCATTCATCCCTTGGGAGTAATGAGTGGACATGCATTCAGTTAAAGATTAATTAATGAGTTCAGTGTAGGAAGGCTAGCTGTCTCAATCATTTCTGTTAGAGCATATCTGATCAAGCAGTTCTTATCTGTATCCTTTGGGAATTAAACAGAAGAACTGCTGATCAGTTTATAGCATATTTCATTTGATGGCCAGTCTTTTATTTTAAAATTAATTTGGTATAGATTAAGTTGTTAAGACTAAATTCATATTGAATAATATGATATTTTTATTTAATTTTTTTGAAAATATCAACTAACAAATTTCAGAGCATCATGTCTCACAAATATGAAAGGGGGGGCTGCAGATGGGCATTTGTCAAGCTCTAACACAACCAGCTGAGGATCTATTATGTAATATTTGTTATAATTTATGCCTACACCACAGGAAATGTATAAACAAATATTATAAGGAATGGAAAAATCATGGAAATCCGTGTATCAAGGTTGACTTGATTTTCTTGCACTCTAAAATGTTTGTGATAATTGAACAATATTTGACGGGCGTATCATGCTGTGGCGGGGCACTTTATATTGATATGGAAGCATTCTCAGGTAGTGTAGATTCAAGTTTGTTCAAATCATGACCCCCAAGGGTAGGGTGGGGCCACAATGGGGGATAAAAGTTTTACATGGAAATATATAGGAAAATATCTTAAAAAATCTTCTTCTTAAGAACAGCAAAGCCGTGATTGGTCATATTTATATGGAAGCTTCCTCAGGTAGTGTAGATTCAAGATTGTTCAAATCATGACCCCTGGGGGTAGGGTGGGGCCACAATGGGGGATCAAAGTTTTACATAGAAATATCTAGGAAAATATCTTTAAAAATCTTCTTCTTAAGAAAAGCAAAGCCATGATTGGTCATATTTATATGGAAGCATCCTCAGGTAGTGTAGATTCAAGTTTGTTCAAATCATGACCCCCGGGGGTAGGTTGGGGCCACAATGGGGGATAAAAGTTTTACATGGAAATATATAGGAAAATATCTTAAAAAATCTTCTTCTTAAGAACAGCAAAGACATGATTGGTCATATTTATATGGAAGCTTCCTCAGGTAGTGTAGATTCAAGTTTGTTCAAATCATGAGCCCTGGGGGTAGGGTGGGGCCACAATTGGGGTTCAAAGTTTTACATAGAAATATATAGGAAAATATCTTAAAAAATCTTCTCAAGAACAGCAAAGCCATGATTGGTCATATTTATATGGAAGCATCCTCAGGTAGTGTATATTCAAATTTGTTCAAATCATGACCCCTAGGGGTAGGGTGGGGCCACAATGGGGGATCAAAGTTTTACACAGAAATATACAGGAAAAAATCTTTTTCTCAAGAACAGAAAAGCCATGATTAGTAAAATTGATATGGAGGCATCCTTGGGTAGTGTAGAATGAAATTTGTTCAAATGAGGGTCCCGGGGGTAGGGTGGGGCCACAATGGGGGATCAATTTTTACAAATGAATATATGGGAAAAAATCTTCTGCTTAAGAAAAGCAATGCCATTTGTTACATTGGTATGGAAGGATCATCAGGTACTTTAAAATCCCCCCCCCTTTCGTTAACTTTTCAATACTAAACTGATTTTTGCTTTTTTTCCTAGCCAATGTGCTCAGGTGAGCGATGTGGCCCATGGGCCTCTTGTTCTAGGTATTATCCGGAAATTTTAGACAATCGTATCTTTTAGTCAATCTGATTAAAATTAGATCGTCGATCCTCTCCTCTATTTATTTATTTTTTTTTTTTTTTTTTTTTTTTTACAGTTGCGACAATAAAAAAAAATAGAGGAACGGATCGAGGATCTGATTTTAATCACATTGAATTCAATAACTGGTTGAATAAAAAACACAGCAAATGTAAATCTAGATTGAAGCGAGGTTTTTTCTCCATAAGGAGTAAAATCTGATCCTATTTAAAGGCCTGAATGAAAGTAAATTGCAATATTGTTTTGTGACAGTAGAAATTTGATAGTGTGAGAATTTTCCCTTGTGAATACCCGTATTTTATTTGAGCCAAGTACTGGAAATTCAACTCAAAAACAAGAAAAATCGTCAGCGTATTTAAAATTAATAACTAGAATTATACTTTTATATATTTAGTCGAATCAAATTGATCGAAAAAACATTTGAAAAACTTAAAAACATAGTGTTACACTCTAAGAACAGAAACTACACACACCCCTGGGTGACACTATCTGTCAACAGGAAACATTAAGTATAAGAAGAGGCCCAGGGGCCACATCGCTCACCTGAGCACTTTGGCTAGGAAAAAGCAGAAACCAGTTCACTATCGAAAAATTTAAATATAAAAGTGGTTCCTTGGGGATATGAATTTGAGCAAACTTGAATATACACTTCCTAAGAATGCTTTTGAATTAATGACACATAATAACTGTTTTTAAGAAGAATTTTTTTTTATTGATATATCCTTTATATTGTGGCGTAATATAAATGTTATATTGTATTATTGTGATTCTTGAGAAGAAAACTTTTAAATGATGTCATTAATTTTTCCACTTGTTCGTAATTATCTCCTCTTGGAAGAAGGTGTGGCCCTTCATTTCAAGAAATTTGAATTCCCTTTACATAAGAATACGTTGTGGCAAGTTTGGTTGAAATTGGTCCAGTGGTTCTTGAGAAGAAGATGAAAATGTGAGACGTTTACAACAGACAATGGACAAATATCGATCAGAAAAGCTCACTTGAGCCTTCGGCTCAAGCGAGCTAAAATGTGATATAAAAATAAGTTCAATGGACTGTGTATCATGATTACTCAGTATATGATATTCATTTATTGCATGTAGTTGACGGTACATGTAACAAAAGTCACCCCGGGAAAGCCATTATCAACCGAGACACAGCAGAAGCTGGCAAAGGTTTTCGAGGAGTTAATATTCTAATTGTTACAGTACCATCAATTACATGCAGCATTTACACTGTTTAATTGTTCCTTGCTACAATATGTGTCGACAACATCATGACGACAATTTTATGCCATTATAATCGACATTAAATCATTCACTATCATAATGTCATAACAAGCACATCCCTTCTCGTACTCTCCCTGGTCCGACAGTGATCTCTCCAAAGAACTGTCTATGAAAACTTTGTGATTATCTAGATGATAATTAAGCAATCACCTGACGAAGGTAAAGGTAAGAAGTTATATGAAGTTCATCTTCGCCAGCCAAAGTGACAACCCTCTCCTCTTATCAGCGGATAGTCAACATTGGCTAGTTTAACTATACAAAATAAAAAAATTCAATGAAACATGCTGAGCAT